CTTCCGATGGGCTTGCGGCCCATAACCTCAACATATGTATGCACAACGCCAACGTGGGCAAATCATAATGCAGCTATTGCATCTGTTGCCAATAAAATGCTTCTTTCTCTAAAAAATGCAACTACAATATTTGCTGTGAGCAGCTGTAGGGCAGGGGAAGAGTCTCTCCGAGACCATCCTCTCCGAGTTTGACCAGGAAGTCACACTGATGAGCTGAGGATTAACTGCAGTAGAGTGGGGCAGAATCTACCCTACCATTCCCCTTGCCACTCTTCTGAGGTTGTTTGGGCTATCACTTACAGTCAGTTCAAAAGTTACTTAAATCAGCTGGAAACATCTCACTGAGGGTCAAGCTCTCAGAAAGCAATGCAAGGTTGAAGGAGGCACAGTCTCATCTGTAAGGATGAGATCTTTCTTCTCAAAGGTTGCTCCACAGAAGGTGTAGGGCTTTCCTGAAGTCCATCGCAGTGACTTCAATGGCATCTTACAGGACTAATTTACAATCCCTTTTCAGTCTAGCATTGCATTTAATAATAGTTTAATGATGCTTCATTTGGAAGAGGACATGCAGCTAAGCCTCTAGGGACTGTCAGACCTGAAACCCAAACAGATTTAGGAAACCTGACTCCAAACTGGTAAGGCTGTATGGTGCTCAGACTAACTCCATTTACCCCATGGTGCTGAGAGCTCAGGGAGATTCCTTGTCTGCATCTAGCTCTGGCAATAGAAGAGGAGGCAAAATAGCCATCTAGCTAGTGGCTGCCTATGAGCTCCTGCTCTGCTACTGTGAGTCCGTGGCTTGTCAGCCTTTCATTTGTTGTGAGACTCAGGCTGAACTCAACCCCTACCCACAAAAGAGGTCAAAAAATAACTTAGAAACACAGAACCATTTAGGTTGGAAAAGACCTTTGAGATCATCAAGCCCAACTGTTTCCCTAACCCTGCCATCCCACCACTAAACCCTGTCCCTAAGCACCTTGTCTGCCTGGCTTTTAAATACCTCCGTGGGATTGGGGACTCAGACCACTTCCCTGGGCAGCCTGTTTGGTCAAAAAATATTTCCTAATGACCAATGTAAACCTGCCCTGGCACAACTTGAGGTCATTTCCCCTCGTCCCATTGCCCGTTACCTGGGAGAAGAGACCAACACCCACCTCGCTCCCCCCTCCTCTCAGGCAGTTGTAGGTAGCGATAAGGGCTCCCCTCAGCCTCCTCTTCTCCAGGCTAAACACCCCCAGCTCCCCCAGCCGCTCCCCATCAGCCTTGGGCTCCAGACCCCTCCCCAGCTTCGTTGTTCTCCTCTGGACATGCTCCCGCGGAGAAAAATTTACTGAACGAACAGGACACGTGGGATACCCACGGCCCCCCAAGCCCCATCTCTGCTCATGAAAAGAAGGCTGTGAGCCACCGACTTTCCACTAGTCCACCAATA